CCTGTAGTCCCAGCTACTCGGGAGGCTGAGGCAGGAGGATCGCTTGAGCCCAGGAGTTTGAGGTTGCTATGAGCTAGGCTGACGCCACAGCACTCTAGCCTGGGCAACACAGTGAGACTCTGTCTCAAAAAAAAAAAAGAAGTATCAAACTACAATTTTTTATTTTTAGATTTTGAATTATTCTATTCCTAGAGTGACAAAGCCAAATAATTATGGCCTTCTTCTTTGGCCCTAAGGGTAGAGAGGATAGAGGAAGAGAGGAAATATTAAAAACTAAATTTGAAATTGGAGAATTTTAAAATTGATGTAGCTCTAGAACTTTATAAGGGACTTTTATAAGATACTTTGTAGCTTATTATAGTGGATTTCCTTAAAAAAAAAAAAAAAAAAAAGGAAAGGAATGGAAGACTCCAACACATGCCTTCAATTATGAGATAATGGAACTCATTCCAAAAACTATTCAAGGAAGTTGATACCATTCTTTTATGGCCCCTTTATTTGCTAGATCAATTTCCTGTTCTTCTACATGCTACAGAATAAGTCTGTGGCTTCTGGTCACAAATATATCTACTCCTAAAGATACAGAAACAGGATCTTCTCTCAGAAAAAAATAATTATTAAAATACCATCATAGGCCAGGGGTGTGGTGGCTCATGCCTGTAATCCTAGCACTGTGGAAGGTTGAGGTGGGAGAATCCCTTGAGGCCAGGAATTCAAGACCAGCCTGGGCAACATAGCAAGATCCCATCTCTACAAAAAATAAAATAAATTATCTGGTCATGGTGCCATGTGCCTATAGTCCCAGCTCTTTGGGAGGCTGAGCCGGAAAGATTGCTTAAGCCCAGGAGTTTGAAGTTGCAGTGAGCTATGATGATGTCCCTGTATTCTAGCCCCAGCGACAGAGTAAGACCCTATCTCAAAAAAAAAAAAAAAAAATACCATCACAATTAACTTACAGTGATTTATATATTTGATGGATAGTCATTTCCTGTTATCTTTCTGTCCCATTGGTTGCCTGCTGCCTACAGGAGCTTTGTGTAGCAGCATCTAAGTGGTGTCTCTGAGGTGTGATGACATTACTATGGCGCAGACAAGGTTCCTTGAAACCTTCTGACCATGATATTTGAACATATGTAATTTTTGTCTAAACATTTTTGAAAATCACCAGAATATTTTTCAAGTTTGTGTGTGTTTTGGTTTTGGTTTTGGAGGTTTTTTACATGATAGAGAAGGACATGAGGGGGGACATGGGAACTAGAAAAAACAATAAAAATTAACCATTCATAGTTATCCTTCCCTATTTTACCCATATGTCTCTATCCCATTCCAAACTGTCACAACCACTGTTAGCATCAAAGTTTCAGTACCTGTTGGCACTTGAACTTTCAAAATTAAAGGTAAATTAGAAATAAATTTGAATACCTTTGCTACTTTAACTGCAAAGAGTCCTCAAGGACTTTGTTTTTTAAATTTACAGTTTATGCTATTCTTGTCTCTTACCTGATTAGGTACAAATCAAGACCTATCAGCTCCTACATTCCGTTTTTCAGTATCCGAATCCAGCTGTTTCCTACCCATACATTTACTCTTTAGCATCCTCTATTGTGGAAAAACTGCAGGAAATAGACAAGACAAAACCTGAAAACACTACTGAGCTTCAGATCTTTCAAGAAGGCATAAAGGTTTTGGAAGCACTGGTTACTGTTGCTGAAGAACAACATCGTAAGTCTCAGCACTAAATTCATGCAAACTCAGAATCTCACCAAAATCCAAATTTCAATGTTTAAATTGTAAAACATTCAGTTAGTCACATTATGTCTGTATTTCACATTCATTGAACGATAGGTGTTATGTTAATCCCAAATATTCATATTAGTTAGTATTAATTTAGGAGAAGAAATTGGAAGAATTGTTTTCTTCCTTAGTGGGGAAAAAATGTGTACAGATCAAGTGCTTTTGCAGCCTTGTATAATGAACATTTATGTCCCTGAACTTACATCATTTGTTTACTTTCTAGGCTCTCAGCTGGTGGCCTGTCTTTTACCCATCCTCATTTCCTTCCTTTTGGATGAGAATGCTCTGGGATCTGCAACTTCCATAATGAGAAATTTACATGACTTTGCTTTGCAAAACCTCATGCAGATTGGGCCTCAGTATTCATCAGTTTTTAAAAGTTTAATGGCTTCTTCTCCGGCCCTGAAAGCCCGCCTTGAGGCCGCTATAAAGGGCAATCAGGAAAGTGTCAAAGTCAAGATACCAACATCTAAACATGCTAAGAACCCTGGAAAAAATTCAAGCATCCAATTAAAGACCAATTTCCTCTGATGTTATATTTTTTGGAATAGTAAGCACCTTAATATAATACTTGATCATTTCCTTCTCTCTGGGGACAAAAGTGACATTTTAGACACAAGTGCACTTGGAGGTCTAGTTGATTGTTGTACCTTAAATAGGTGTGACTTTTCAGAATAACAGCGTACTTAACATTTTTTTTTTCCATTTAATAAGACAACAGATATATCAAAATTCTTGCCAGGAATTTTAAGAAAGTGCTAAAGAACTAAACTTACTAAATCCACAGCTTTAAAGATTAAATGGATTTCCTCTAACAGTCCATACACACATGATATACGTAATACTGTGACAGATAAAGATTTGACTGTAGTAGAAATTATCTGCACTTATATTGTATCCCAATTGCTAATTTAAACTTCTGCCTTATTCAGTAATTATATTAAACTTTCTTGGATTTCTCAAACAAGATAAATGATTGGAAAACTGGTTAGGAAACTTGGCCTAGAATTATCCAATATATAATAGTGCAAATTAATCACAGCCTTACAGTGTGACTTACGATTTGGTGTCTATAAATACCGTGACTTTTCACCATCTTTTGGTTAGTTTGTATTGGGTTCAGAAAATGGAAGTTTTACTTGTTTTACATAGAATAGAGCATCTCCACTTCACTGTATTTCAGATGGATTTTCTGTTACCTGTATTCCTAACAATTTTGTTTGTTTGTGGCAAACATTTATACCAATGAGTTTAATATAGGTTCATATCTATATTATATTTAAATCAATTATGGGTTTATATAAATGCCAAATTTAGTACAACAAATTTAGATCATCAGTGAATACAAGTATTTTTTTTAACCGAAACATATTTTAATATAGAAGAAAATATAATGATAAAGTCATAATTGGTTGAAAAATATTTTTAACTCTGTTCATGATCAGTGACTCTCCTTCCACTTCAGTGTTATATTGTGTGAATCACTATGTCAAGACAAATCATCTCCCTGTTAAAAATTACAAACCGAAGTGATAAAGGCATGTTCTTTGAGAAAACACTTTGACTCAAGCAAGAGCAGTGTGATGTACTCTATTTTATTATGTTTGTATATAAATACTCTTGTAAATTGTTCAGAATGAAAACATTTGAGAAACTCTAACACTACAATCAATTTTTCTAAATTAAATAAAGCTAATTTTCTTTATCATTCTTGTATTTTACATTATTTCACCCACAAAAGATGGCTTGGCTGGTTAGTCTCATAGACTCCAGAAAATCAATTCAATGGAGTAAATAATTATTAGATCCCTTTGTAACTTGGCCTTTTTTCTCAGAAGAGCCCTTTCTTTGGAGTATTTTTTGCAATTATTTAGATTCTCTGTCTTCCTAATTGTAGGAATTGAGTATATATTTCTTATTGTTCCCTTTGCCTAAAATGTCCTTTTTTCTCCCTTATTCTGTCTGGCAGACTCCCACATGTTTTGGGCCCTGTTTAGTGCACATGTAAGAATAACATCTATTGGATATTGGGCAGGGGAGAGGAGGGAGGAGGGGACGGGTATATGCATACACAAAGAGTGCAATGCGCACCACCCGAAGGATGGGCATATTTGAAACTGGGACTTGGGCGGGGGGAGGGCAACATACGTAACCTAAACATCTGTACCCCCATAATATGCTGAAATAAAAAAAAAAATTAAAAAAAAAATAGGTTAGTATTATGCTGACGCAGGTCTTCCATGAGGGGTGGGGGTCTCAGGTGGCTGATGCGCCACCAAGTAATAGATGGGGGTTTTCCTTATCACTTATAGCATCAAGAAGTGCTTAATGGCTGTTGAATTGCACCAGCATGGGATGGGTTTGGACTCAGAAATTTTTTTGAGTTTTTGAATTTTTTGAAATTTTGAATTTTTTGAATTTTTTCCCAAGGCAAAACGCTGGACTGGATTGTTCACTTTTGGATTTTTTAAATTGTGTCATCTTTTTCAATTTAGTTTGCTCTTAAACATTAAGATTTCTACACTACACTGCTGTCTTCCACAATACGCTGCTAAAAAAGAAAAATGAAAAAAAGAAAAAAAATTTCTACTTATCATTTAGTGGCATAGTATCCTGAATTATTTGTATTAAAGGTGCTATATGAATAACAATAGTTAGGGAAAAAGTTATGTCCAGTTTCATGGAATTAGGAACTATCATGTATCTTTTTTAATGTATTGTCTTATTTAATACAATACTGAATTATTAATGATATCCTTACTGATAAGGAAATTAAAGCTTAACAGCTAGGTTTGGACTCATCTTTCTGATCCCAGCATCCATGCTAGAGATAGGAAAAGTGCTCTGGCGGTCCTCATTCCATCAAGGTATAGCTTTTCTTTCAGCACCAGAGGCTCTCTCAAGAGCCTTCCTCCTTCCTTGCTGAAGATGTTTTCCGTTACATTTCTCCAAATTGTACCCAAAAGGTTTCTGGTTAATGTAGTAGGAAATAGTGAAAAAAAAAAAAATTCTCTGTTCTCTACAGTTTCTATGGGAATAGATTATATGCTTAGATATATAAGTTCTGATTTTTTAAAAAGTGAATAGTTAAAACTGAAAAATACATCAAAAGTTTTTTACATGTGTTTATTTTAATGAGTGTCTAGTTGTGATAAAACAGTTGCACATTAATTAGGTTGGTAACTCTTTACAAATTAAATATGTTGATTAGCAAGTTGGATGAAGAAACAATCAAAATGTTATTTGTCTTGAGCTTTATTTTTTTTCCTAAGGGAAGAAATAGGGTAAGTCAGTCTCATTCTACTTAACCCACTATTTTAGTGCTTATGGAAAGACTTAAAATAATATTGGATAGAACATATTTCTATTAATAGAACATTAAATCTACATTTTACTTCTATAAAACAAACTTCACCATCAACTTAAAGGGAACATTAAGGCACCTAACAAGATATAGATAAGTGCTATAAAAGATGTACAAATACAGTACTATGGGAGCTGAGAGAAGAAAATGGGCTTCCAAGATCAACTTCATGGAAAGAGTATCATATGATACCGGCTTAGAGAGTAGCACTCGATGGAATAGATGCATAACCCAAGAATCTTTTGTAACATTAATTTTGAAGAGAAGAATTTCTGTTTTGCCATATCCTAAAGAATTCCCTTTATCCACTTTTTATAATACGAGATTTGCAATACAAGGGAAGAAATGCAACTTTCAAACTACTAAACTACGATAATGTAAATTCAACTTTAAAACTGCAAAACTGTGATAATGTTAATTCAAAACTGACAATATGTGGAATATCTATATAAAAAAACTATATAGTTAAAATGTTAAATTGTCTTATGGTTTAATGATTGCATTACCTTGCATTAGGCTACAGTCCTAATGCTTCTAGTCTGTCCATATGTATCTTACCATAGCCCATTAACATTCCTAACTCTAAAGTCAAGGTAATGACATATATTGCATGTTCTCCATCAATTGAACATATTTTCCTATTTACAAATAACTTGTTAACCCTTGCAAGACCTCAATGTATCAGTAGAAATTTATCTCCATGTTTGCTAGAAATATAGTTGCCCAACTGCTGGCTGGCTGACAGTGATCAGTTAATGAATTATGCTCAAGTTGACTTCTCTGTACCATCCTGTTTAACTGATGTCTGTGCTTTTTAGCTTTGAGGGCATGGTAAGTTTCATGTTGTGATATAGAGGTGGAATATATCCAGTACAGACCACAAATACAATCCCAAATTGGGTAAATTCAAAGGTGCTAGCTTTCTTTAATTGCATTTCTCTTTGGTTAGGATTCCTGCACTATTCTGTTGGGGTCATTATAAATGATGATTCCACAGGCTACTTGGGGAAAATTCATATTACGTCCATATAACACTCTTTAATAATAGAAGTATTTGAAATATATCCAGTACAGACCACAAATACAATCCCACTAGGCTGGAGTACAAGTGGCATGATCATACCTCACTGCAGCCTCAAACTCTTGGGCTCAAGTGATCCTCCTGCCTCAGCCTCCCCAGTATCTGGGACTACAAGCACATTTATCACCACACCCAGCTAATTTCTTTATTTTTCATACAGACTGGGTCTTGCCATTTTGCCCAGACTGGCCTTGAACTCCTGGCCTCAAGCAATCCTCTCACCTCAGCCTCCCAAAGTGCTGGGATTACAGGTGTGAGCCACTGCTCCTGGCTAAACTTATTTTTTTTAAGGGAGTCTAACTATTCCAGGTGTTCTATATTTTTTAAGAAAATAAGAGGTCATTTCTGTCAATGAAAAACTGGTGTCGAAAATGTTTTGCTTAATTGGATCAAAATTGAATCTTTTTTTCTGGAAAAATATCTATAGGCAAAAAAACTTTATAAGCAGAAATATATATATATAGACACATAAATACACATGCACATATCAGAAATAGCAAACTGCTTTATAAAATATTCCAAGACAGAACAAAACAAGTGAGATATTTTTAAAAGCAGTTTAAGTATGCCAGTGACACAGCAAGAGCAGTTTGTTAGTGCTGTTACTGGAGGAAGTACAAGTAGCCTCAGAAAAAAATGCGCACATGCAATCAAAACTGAGGCTCTCTACTGAACGAGGCCTATAAACCCCAATATTTCTCTGTCGATTACTAGTTTCTGATCTTGATTAAGAAGGCTTTGGGCCTTCTATTTTATAATCAAATGCTGGAGGAGTGCTCACTACTCCCTGACTTGCCGGGGTAAACTGGGCTTCCCACATCCTTTCCTCCCTAGTAATGTCACATACTAGAAACACATTATCTAGGCCTTTGTTTAAACACAAAAGCTTCTTAAAAATAGATTTTATAATTATGGAAATGCTGTTGTTTCAGTGGTCAACAAACCAGTTGTGAGTCAACACCAAATGACAAGTGGCTAGACCATCTACCTCCTATTCTCCAGTCAGCTGTGGTTACTGTCATTTGCTAAGGTTTTCATTGCAAATGCTTTCTCTTTTCATTAATAACATAACCATTCTGATTTCCCAGTGTTGCATAAAGACATTTGTAGAATTTCCTACAAGATGAATATGTTTCTT